CCTCAGAATCAGCCCTTAAGGCATTCAGATCTTGCTAAAAAACCCATGGGAGTTTCACAGGCATGGAAAGGCAAGACACTCCGAAAAAAAAAAAAAAAAAAAAAAAAAAAAAAAACACTAAATGAAAGATCTCTGTGAGTGAGATCCCAGCAGAAAGAAAGGACCATCAAAGGAGGTACCTTTCTCTGTAGGGAGGAAAGAACTTCCACTTTGACTATGACCTTGTTTAAATAAGATCAGAGTTGGCGAACTCAAAAGGCTTCCATAGCCTTGGCAACTCATGACAAGAGCCTAGGGTGATTACTGATGCCATAAACAAGAGTGTCAATTGTTAAGTCAACAAACAAGAGTCACTGTGCACTTACTCCCCATGTAGGATCTTTGTCCTTAATGTGTTGTACAATGTGAATTAATGCTATAACTAGTACTCAAACAGTACTTTATACTTTGTGTTTCTGTGTGGGTGCAAACTGTTGAAATCTTTACTTAATATATACTAAATTGATCTTCTGTATATAAAGATAATTGAAAATGAATCTTGATGTGAATGGGATAGGAGAGGGAGTGGGAGATGGGAGGGTTGCGGGTAGGAGGGAAGTAATGGGTGGGGGGGGTGAAGCCACTGTAATCCAAAAGTCGTACTTTGAAAATTTATATTTATCAAATAAAGGTTATAAAAAACTAATTCTCTCACCCACCTAACTATGCCTTTCAAATAACAAAATATTTAAAAATTTGTTAAAAATATTAAAACTGTTAGCCCTTGTTGACTAAACAAAAATTGCTTACAGTTCAGATTTTGCCCATATAGCATCATTTGCTAATTGTTTTAGAAGTTATAATTCTTGGCATTTAATTATGACTGAACAAAGTCTAAAGTTCTCAGGTAAAGGAATAAAGCTCTCATAATATAATTTTAGAAAAGAGTAATTAATAGGATAATAAGATATCTCTGCTTTTCCCAAATCTCAAAATTATTATCCAATAATACTGTAAACACAGAAAATACACAAATGAAAGCCCTGGTCTAAACTGGTATTTGTTGAATTTATCTTCAGAACAGAATATAGAATAAGCATTTACTAATACATTAAATCTTTGATTAGCCTGGTTTATCAAATGTATAGCTTTTATGCAGAAAGTCAATTTTTAGTGATTTCAAACATTGGTTATAAAAACTGTATAGCAGCGTTTTTATTCAGGGCTTTTTAAATAAACAATTACCTCTTTATTTTTTGAAGATTTATTGTGTTTATTTGAAAGGCAGAATTACAGAGAAAAAGAGAGATACACAGAAAGAGATTTTCTATCCAGCAGTTAAACCCCCCAAATGGTTGCAACAGCCAGGGATGGGCCTGTCTGAAGCCAGGAGCTTCTTCTGGGTTTCCCACATGGATGTAGGGGCCCTAGGCCTTAATCCATCTTCTGCTACTCTCTCTAGCACATTGGCAGAGATGAATCTGAAGTGGAAGTGGAATGGCTGAGACTCAAATTGGTGTCCACAGGGGATGCCAGCATCACAGAGGGCAGCTTAATCCATTATGCCAAAACACCAGATCCACAACTTGTTTTTTAAGAAAACCAAGATTTAATACACCTGTATCTAGTAAAGGATACATATCTCAACCCCTAGCATTAAACCAGAACACAGCTCAATTTCACCTTCCCTGCAATCACTTAATTGTTTTTCTGGCTCTTTCTCTGAGCTGTCTTCTGCTTCCTTATAGCATCTGTAAGTCAGACTAAATTTTGCATCCTTGAAGAAACCTATTAACTGTGTGATCTTAGCAAAGTTAGTAAATATTTCTGAGGCTCAGAAACCTTGTCTGAAAATGAGTGCAAGATTATCTACCTTATTATGTTGTTGTGGTGCTTAGAAAGAACCACAACTAAGTTCTAGTGTTGCCCCTGACTTGTAGCGTAGGTTCACTAAAGGAGAGCTGCTTCATTTCTATTCCCCCATTGCTTTGAACACATTTTCTTAATGTGTCTCCTGTTCCTAGACTGTTAGCACCTTCAGGTCTAAGATGTGCATTATGTACCTCTGAATCCCTGTGCTCTGGCACACAGCAAGCCTTATTCAAGATTTGCTGAATGAGGGGCTAGCATTGTGGTGCATCAGGTAAAGTCACCACCTGCAATGCAGACATCCCATATGGAGGCTGGTTCATGTCCCAGCTGCTCCAGTTCTGATGCAGCTCCTTCTCATGGCGTGGGAAAAGCAATGAAGCATGGCCCAAGTGTTTAGGCCTCTGCCACCCATGGAGACCCAGATGAAGGCCCAGGCTTTGTCCTGGCTCAGCCCTGGCGGATGAGGTCATCTGGGGACTGCACAAATGAATTGAAGATTTCACTCTATGTGCCTCTCTCGAATCCTTTCAAAAAAAAATCTTTTAAAAAATTAGATTTTTTAATGAAATAAAGCATCACACAGATCTATACTCATTAATAAGGCTCTAATAGCTTCACTGATATAGTTTCTGAAACCACACTTAAAGAAGCAAGAGTGCAAACCAGTTGATATCGGAATTGTCCCAAAAAATTCTGAGTTACGGTACTTATATCAAGAATAAAAAGAAGTTGCAAATAACCATGGGGCACCTGAAATTGGGTCACTGCTTGGAGAACGCTTTATTATTGGCGGATTAAAGATGAAGCAGGCCCCTAATTGAAGCTTTAACTTCCATATGTCTGTGTCAGCACTACTCAGGGATAAACTTCTAAAATGATAATACTTTGATTTAGTATTAGACTTTCACCATTCAGTGCACTTTGCCACCTATTATTTTCTTTTATCCTCACAACGAGCCCAAGAGGGAGAGCAATTTTACAGATGAGCAAATAGCAGCACAGCAGGTTAAGTGACCGACAGAGGGTCACAGAGTGATTTCAATAGTGAGGCTGGGCCAGCCATGCTTCCCACTCCCAGTCCTGCACTTACCTCCTGGAACCTGGATGTCCCCTCTGCAAACTCATAAGCCAGGGCTCTTCAGCAAACTGATGCCAGCACAGTGTTCTTGGAAAGGAAGGACAAACGGAGGAAAAGAGGGGGAGGCATTGTGGCTCATCAGGTTAAGGCAATACTTTTGATGACAGCATCACAGATAGAACACCAGTTCAAATCATGACTGCTCCACTTCTAATCCAGCTCCCTGCTAACGTGCCTGGGAAAGCAGTGGATGATGGCCCAGGTACTTGGGCCTCTGCCAACCATGTGGGAGATCTAGATGGAGTTCCAGGCTCCTGGCTTTGGCCTGGACCAGCAGTGGCTGTTGTGGCTATTTAAGGAGTGAATCAGCAGATGAAAGATCTCTCCTTCTCTCTAACTTTGCCTTTCAGATAAATGAACATTTTTTAAAAAATAAATAAAAGGAGGGAGAGAGGGATGAAAAGACTAGATTAGAATAGAATTTAAACCTATTATATCTAGGATTACAGGGAGAAACTATTCAGATATTTTAGTAGCAGTTACTTCAACCATCTTCAGAACTTTATAATCAAGTCTAGCTTAAACAGTGTCAACATCATTGAACTGTATATGCCAGACAATTTTCTATGAAGTCAGGTTGACCAAACTTGCTAAGCAGTCATAGGTGCATAAAACTTGATTCATAGCTCACTTTTTAAATTGATGTCAATCAGCCAGCATCTGATTTTTAATTCATATTTTTGTTCATTTGAAAGGCATTGAGAGAGAGAGAGGGAGAGGGTGGGTGGGAGCAAGGGAGGGAGGGAGGGAGAGAGGGAGGGAGGGAGAGAATCTTGTACCTTTTGGCTCACTCTCCAATTGTCCATGTCAGCCAGGCTGAAGCTTGGAGTAGGGAATTCAGTTCATATCTCTCATGTGGGTAGCAGGGACCCAAGTTCTTGATTCATCTTCTGCTGCCTCAAAGGGTATGCATTAGCAGGAAACTGAAATCTGAAGTGGAGCCAGGACTCAAATCCTGATACTCCAATATTAGATGTGGGTGTCCCAAACTGAGCTTTAACTACTGTGCCAAATGCCCACCCCCACTGTTGATTTTTAAAGGCCCAAGTCATAATTTCTTATTCAAGAGTCCCTGTCTCCATATATAATGAAGACATTGAGGAAATTTATAGATGAGGATGAGTCCAATGGATGGCACTTTCATTAGAATAATCCTTTATAAAGCACCTCCAATAGAATACTTTGACCTTTTTTGAGTCATGGATCCCTTTGAGAGGGTGATGACAATTCTGGATCTTATTTCCAAAAAAACAATCAGTGCCTTATGCACATACACAGTTACAATTTTCGCACTAGTCAAGGGAGATAGAAGGTGGAGTTTCCATTCATCTTTTACCAAGATTTCATGGAAACCAGTTAAAAAGCTATCATTGATAAACTGCATCATTTCATATTAACAGCTTTGTGAGGTAGGTAAACAGGATTAATGATCCTGTTTTACACTTTCTGAGATTAATAACTCAAAAACATAAATGGCTTACCTAAGGGAAAACATTATAATTGGGAAAAAGTTTATTCGGCAAAATTAATGCCAGTTCTCCTGAGTACTAGCTTGGATCTCTTTTCCAACATCTAGGTGTCCAAGTTATAGGTATAAAAAAGGCATAAAAATGATCCCAAGAAATGATTTGCCCTCTCAAGAGTCAAGAGAGTGGCAGCTTCCCTCTTCCTTATCCCAGATGTTATTTAAAATACTGTTCTGTAAGCCTCTAATGAATCTTAACAATCATCAGAAATAATCATTGCCCCAAAGTATTGAGATGCTGATCATGGGTACACATGGCCATCAGCTTTGAATTCATAGACATTTAATTCTTTTTATTTAATGAACACATTTTTACATAGATACAACTTTAGGAATACAGTGGTTCTTTCCCACATGCCCCCCATCCCGCTTCCTTCCCACCTCCCATCCCCTCTCCCATATCCTTCATTATGCATCATTTTTAGTATGACTTTATACATAGAGGACCACCTCTATGCTAATCAGAGAGTTCAACAATTTGCCCCCACGCCCACACACAATATATAGAGTGCAGTTTGGGGAGAGAATTTGCAGATAGACATTTAATTCTGTGTGGAAGACTGAAGCATTTTCCAAACTGTCAAGGCAGGTAAATGCTATAATAGGAGTTGGTGGGAGGTAGGCTTTGGGAATACAGAGCAGCCAGCAGATTGACAAGAACCCAGACATAGGGATGGAGGCTTAGATCAGTGGATGGTAATAATAGACTCCAGAGTTGTGGTCAGAGTCTGCTCATATTTTAAAGACAGAGCCACCCATTGTGGATGAAGAATGATATATGTGAGCAAGAGGGAGAAGTCAAGGATGTCCTCACAAGCTTTGACTTGGGCAATTAAAAGGTTGATTTGGTATTAACTGAAAGGAGCAAAAAGGGAATCCAGAGTTACTTTTGGACATACTAAGATTTAGATATGTATTAGATGCCCAAGTAGAAATGTCTAAGAAGTAATTGGCGTTCACTCATGCACCACATAACAACATTTTGGTCAATGAAAGACCACCTATATAATGATATATACCATATGATCTAGATGTGTAGCAGGCTATCCAATCCAGCTTTGTGTAAGTACACTCTGTGGTATTGGTGTTAGCATAAGTCATTGCCCAGTGGATATTCCCGTCATCAAGCAACAAGTACAAGGATACTTCAAAAGTTTATCAAAAATTTGAATTGAAAGTGTTTATTTTTAAGAAATGATTTATTTATTTGAAAAGGAAGAGAGGGAGAGAGGGAGAGAGGGAGAGAGACTGAGAATGAGAGAATCTTTTGTCTGCTGGTTCACTCTCCAAATAGTCACAACAGCCAGAGTTAGACCAGACCAAAGCCAGGAATTCCATTCAGTGCTCCTATTGTGGGTGGCAGGGACTGAAATACTTGGGCCATCATTTGCAGCCTATTAGGCATATTAGCAGGAAGCTGAGGAGCCAGATTTCAATGCCAGACAATCTGATATGGGAGGTAGGTGTCCCAAGCAGCAGCTTAATCTGCTGCACCAAGATTCCCTGCTCCAAAATAAATCTCATTTTAGTGCAAAAAATTTGAAATCCATGCAGTTTTTTTTGTAATATGTATTTTCTGTTAACTTTTTGAAATCCCCTCATGCATGGATTTCAAAATGCTTTATAGTGGCAGGCGCCATGGCTCACTTGGCTAATCTTCCGCCTGTGGCACCTGCATCGCATACAGGCACTGGGTTCTAGTCCTGGTTGCTCCTCTTCCAGTCCAGCTCTCTGTTGTGGCCCAGGAGGGCAGTGGAGGATGGCCCAAGTCCTTGGGTGCCTGCACCCACGTGAAAGACCAGGAAGAAGCACCTGGCTCCTGGCTTCAGATCAGCACAGCACCAGCCGCAGAGGCCATTTGAGGGGTGAACCAGTGGAAGGAAGACCTTTCTGTCTGTCTAACTCTATCTGTCAAATAAATTTAAAAAAAAAAACACACAAAATGCTTTATAGCAAAATAAAGTTACCTTTTAATTCCATTTGCCACACACTTTGTGATGAACCCTTCTATTTCTAAGACTAGAATTCCAAGAGATCTAGAGTAGACATTAACATTTAAAGGCTGTAGTGTCTAAACACTATTTAAAACCACAAGACTAAATGAAGTCAGCAGGTGAATGAGTATAAATGGAGAAGTTGTACAAGGACTGTGCCCCGAGCAGTCACTATGGGAATAAAGGTGGGATTAATCACTTCTAGGCCAATCAGAGGCCACATGGTCATACACACTTACAAGAATGGAAGAGATTTGGGGCAGAGCACCACAATGCCCACCATACTAACCATATACTTTTAAGCTTTTTGTTGTTGCTCTGAGAGTTTTCATTTTAAACATTAAATGTTTAAATAAGTGTTTTCATTTGTAAAATTACAATAATGATAGCTTTTCCCAAGTTAAGAGATATCCAGGTGTTGGTGCTATGGTATAATATGTTGAGCTACAACTTACAACATCTACCTCCCATATAAGTACCAGGTGCTCCAATTCTGATCCATCTTCTCTGCTAATGCACCTGCGAAAGCAGTGAATGAAGGCCAAAGTACTTGGGCCCCTGTGACCCATGTGGGAGACCCAGGTGGAGTTTCTGGATCCTGGCTTTGGCCTAGCTTCGTCCCAGTCATTGCAGCCATTCTGGGAGTGAACCAGCAGGTGGAAGCTCGCTCTTTCTCTCTCCACACTTCCCTCTCTCCCTGTCACTATGCATTTAGCTGTCTTAAAAAAAATCCAGAGTCAACTGAGCTTTTACAGAATGCTCAATGTAATGCATAATAAATGCTCAAAAATATTAATTACTTCCATTTTCTATGATTAAAGTTCACCCAAAAGTACTACTTGAAGCTAAGCCCTATCCATTTGCTTTTTGGGAAGTAATCCTAGGGATCAAGAATACAGGAAGGTTAGAAAGCCAATACCAGCACTGGTCACCACTGCAAATAACTAAATGTGCCTCAGAATTCTGTGTCCTGGATTAGAACAAGGTGAAACATGTCACCTCGTGTTCCTGATTGATCCAAGATATATATCCGCATACACACCATGTCAGCTTAACTCCTGCACATTTGCAGGTTGCTGAAATACAAGTTAAGGGGTTACCTGTGGGTGTCCTACAACATTGCTCAGGATAAGATCCAGGACAAAAAAATCAAAAGGAACAGGTCAAGGCAAGGCATTGTCAGACTGGCCCTCTGCAAGGCAGCACAGAACGGGTCCCTACAAAGGTGCCTGGGAAATAGTGGGAGTGGGAATGTATAAGCTGAGCTCAAAAATATGTGGTAATTACTTCATTTTCATAATTATTATTATGCATCCTTGCTAAATCCTTGTATCAGAGATTCTTATCTATGGCTTTTTCTCTATTAGATTTTGATTTCCTGAAAAGCAAGGCTAATTTCTTCTTGTCTTACCTGTAACTAAGTGTTCTGTACATAAAGTGGTCAATTTTTGTCAAATTAAAATGAACTAATGTGGCATGAAAACGAATTTAAAATATATGTGCTTTGGGTGTGTATGTGTGTGCTCTTTCATTTATACTTTTTCTCTTCTGGCAATTTGAAAGTACAACCTTGATGTAAAAGCTCTGAACTGCTTTATTTCCTTTAGTTTTATACTAAAAAACAACAACAGAAGAAACAAAACTCGGATTCTTTGTAGAAAGCAATAAGACTGAAGAAAAAAAATTAAAAAATTTTTTTCTTCTCTAATTGCTTCCCCAGTCACCTTTCCTAGATTCACAGGAATTAGTGGTGGGAGAGGCACAGCTCAATTGGTTGTGGAGAGCAAAGTTCCTCTGAGCTTCATTACTGCTTCAGTGAGAGCAGATACCTCCTCTCTATCCCCCAGGCTGCTCCCAAAGTCTCTTACATATGCCAAGGTCAGCCTAGTTCTGTACCCCCTGTGTTGACTGAATCATTCTAATGCTCTTGCTTTTCACCCTAGTTAAGTAGAATCCCATTAGCCTGGATATATAAGACTGGATTACATTTTGCCTCTGCTGGATCTGCTCAGTATTTCCCCACATGTGGACATGTTTTTCTTCATTTCAGCACCCATGTGAACTATACACAAAGATAATCTAAAAGTGGGCAAGGTCAGTCTTATACACACAATGTAAGCCATTACTCACATTGCATAATTGAAGAGCAAATCCTTCCCCCAAGGGAAGGCCCATGATTAGTTCTTCATTTCCAGCTGCTGACAGTTTCTTTCCATCTTCTTTGAGAAAGATTACCTGGCTCGAGGGCAATGAGGTTGAGCATGCTTGGTCTCTTAGGCGACTTCAAAAAGTTCAAGATGGAATGAAAAGGTAAGTTTATTTTGGTGCCCCAAAATTCTGAAATCCATGCATTAATACGTTTCCATTAACTTCTTGTAGAACCCTTGTATACATGGATTTCAATTTTTTTCACCAAAACAAACTTATCTTTTAATTCCACTCTATAGCAACTTTTTGAAATACTCCCTCTCAATTGATTGGGTTGGTCAATTGCTGGTATTGCTGAGCATTTTCACCTTGGGGGAAGAAAGTGACCAGCAGAGTCAGGAGGATAAAGGATAAGAGGGTGAGCTAGAAGCACCGAGGGTGCTGAAGGCATGGCAAACCTTTAATTCAGTAATTTGACCACGTAGCTCTGAAAGTAGCAAGATGGAGAGGCTTTTCAAATCCCTGAAACTACCATGCATACCCTTTGCTTTCTGTAGTCCCAAATGGCAAATCAATACTCTCTTTAATCATGGCAGCATGGGACAGGAAGGAACAACTCACCAAGCCAAGAGAGGAGCACTCCAGAAATTAGTTACCTGTTCTTATCAGCCTTCTCTACAATGACATCAGCACCTTGCCATCTCTATCACCTTTTACAAAAGCGAAGCACTTGACAATTTTAAGCACAATTTGCAAATGAAATGCTTCCCCTCTAATCCTAAATGCTTTTATCAGATAGTCTCTCAGGCAAGAAGGAAATTTAGTGTAAGCAAAGAGGACTTTCACCTCCTGTGCTTGTGTTCAACCTCCATTAACTGCAATTTCCCTCATTCTGCTGTCACGTTATTTCTCTAGTATCCTTGCCTTTCATGGCCTTCTTGCTTAAAATTCTAAGAGGGTATCTGACATTCTTTTTCAATTTAATCTAGCCACCTCCACACCCACCTCAATGATTCTTTCTTGTAGATTTGCATTTCAAGCTTCATTTCCAATTGTAGAATGATAGGCTTCCAGGACTGTAAAAGGCATTTCAGAGATTCTTACTGGTTAATCATTCATTCAGCGAATATGTCTTGATCACCAATATGGTGGCCTTTTTAGAGATACAGAAATAATACAAGATTTTGTCCAGAAGAATATATCCATGCAAGGGCACTGTACACAGGTGATAACCATTCAATGCAATAAACACCTCCATAAAGGTCAAAGTGGAGTGTTCTTGTGAAGACACAGAGGCAGAATAACTCTGCCTGAGAAGCCTGCTGATAATTTCCAAGAGGAGAAATATTTGACCAGTAACTTATGGTTGGAGTAGACTCTCCACAAATAGAGCAGTTCGTGGAGAGCACATTTCTCCAGGATGGAGGAAGGACATGTACAGAGCAGAGAGAGATGTGGAGTGTTCAGTGTGTGGAAAAAGCTGAGACATGTGCTGAGTCAGGAAGTCATACATGCCATGCTTGAGTGTGGACCGTGAGCAACCTAGGCCAACAAATTCTCCATCTTGGAGGTGACATGACCATATCTATTTTTAAGAATATTATCATGGAGGAAACAGGGAAGATTAAGCAAAGTTGGCAAAGATTTGTTTCTGGTATACAGTTGGGAAAGATGACAGACACCTTTGAGCAAAGGTGACGGGTAACAGGATGAGTTTTCTTCAAATGCTTCAGTCATGATCCCAGGAGCACTCAGGGCCGTCTCAGAACACCTTGTATGTGTATGTTTGCAAGCAGGTGTATGTTACCAATTGCTTTCAGATCTATACTAATGTTTGAGTTTTGAATTTGGACTAATTTGCCTCACCCTTGAGTTTTAAAAATTTTCTTCCACTATAATTTGTCTACTCAGCATATACCTGTTTCAGAATCTCAAAAACAGCCAGTTGTATTTTAACCACAAAGATTTCTCTTATCTAACAGACTGATTTTTGGAGCTGCCATTACTGATAACAGATGTTGAAACATTTCAATGCACCTTTTATTTCTTTTTTCCCCAAGATTTTAAAACGGATTTTAAAAACTTTTATATGGGTTTAAAAAACTTTTATAGTTTTTTAGCCTCAATATGTTTTTTGTAGCATTATTATTCCTTTTCTCCCAATGTATAATAAAAAAAATTAACAACTCCTGTTGCTGTTTATTTCCCATCTGCTGGAGATGATATAAAATTTCAGACATACTTATAAAATATCTACCAAACATGCCAAACATAATCTATAGTGTACTAAACATTATGTTCACTGTATATATTTTATGTACCAATTCCAGCTAAACTGTGCATTATTATAGGATGAGTCATCCTGCTTAACCTATTGTAATTTTACCACACACTCTATAGTGGCACTGAAATTGAATTGGGATATCACATATATGTGTAGTGCAGAATATTGGAACATTTTTCTGACTTATATAGCAAACTGTAGTCTATCTTCCTTTAGAACATTAAAACTGTGGTTGATAAGCATATTACATCTGCGTGTAAAACATGAAGTTTAAGGAACTCAGCATATGCAAAAGCAGAGATTCCACAGTACAGTTATTTAAATTTTTCCTGAACACAATACAATTCCTGCTTATTTGATGCAGAGGTAGAAGAATAAATAATCACTGCTTTAGATTTGTTAACTGCCTGGATAGATAAAGCAGGTGTTACCAACAGCCCTTTCACTCCATCATGCCATTCTCACTTTGATCCCTATTTACTAAATATAAGCTCCCAAAAGGATCAGTTATCCATTCATTTCTTTGCATAAAGACTCTTCTTTGGAGTAGATCTACCTCATTGTTTAGTAAAATTCAGATACCTTCAGATCAATTTCAAGAACACACTGTTGAAATTAAGAGACACAGTCTCTAGCCACACCCTATTTTCCAGGCATTCTAAATCATTGTGAGTAATGGGTACACACACACACAGTCCTGTTTCTTGCCATGGAAACTCACCTATCTTCTTTCTTGCTGCCTCATTTATGCTCTGTTTCCATTAATGCTGCAAATGGTTTTACTCAGATGCCAAAGGTAATAATGATAAGCTAATTAGAATTTGTTCTTATTTTGGAATTGCTGTCTACATTGTTGTACATCATACTCTGGCGTTTCTGGCATGATTCTATGTAAATGAACTCACTTTGATTAATTCTTAGCAGATATATCAGGGCCCAAAAACAGTTACTAAGAGGAGGTAGTAAGTTACTCAGTATTCTTGCCTATCTATGCTCCTTCCTCCTCCTGTACACTTGCAAGAGGGTTCTAAGTGTGATCTAGATGACTCCTGCCCCTCCCAAGACCCTTCCACGGGGAATGTAAGAATAAAATATTTTTAATAATATTAAGAAATTATTTTCCATTTCACTTTTTTTTTTTTTTTTTGACAGGCAGAGTGGACAGTGAGAGAGAGAGACAGAGAGAAAGGTCTTCCTTTTGCCGTTGGTTCACCCTCCAATGGCCGCTGCGGCCGGCGCACCGCGCTGATCCGATGGCAAGAGCCAGGAGCCAGGTGCTTTTCCTGGTCTCCCATGGGGTGCAGGGCCCAAGCACCTGGGCCATCCTCCACTGCACTCCCTGGCCACAGCAGAGAGCTGGCCTGGAAGAGGGGTAACCGGGACAGAATCCGGCGCCCCAACCGGGACTAGAACCCAGTGTGCCGGCGCCGCTAGGCGGAGGATTAGCCTAGTGAGCCGCGGCCCCGGCCCCATTTCACTCTTTTTATATATAATATATATACACATACTCACGAGAAAATGAGAATGAAATTGGAAAAAAAAAAATTGAGTTTTCCAGAAGCTACCCAATGTGATATTGCAATAGATAGGATGCAGAAATATGAATATTCCATCATCTTCTACTAATCCAGATGATGAAGGCAGTTATAATAATTTAGAAAAACATCACTCTTCTCATTAATGCTTTTGTTTTAGAAATAGTCATATTCATAAGAAATTTTATGTTAATAGATAACTTATACAAATTAAGCATTTTAACAAATTTTAATGTCTACTTTAGTAAATGATTGACAAAGTCCAGATATAATAGTTCTTCAGGTAATTTATAAAAACATAAAGCGATCTTGAGCCAAAATGTTTGAGAATAGGTAACTCGGCTTGCTATCTCTTTCTTCTGCTTTAAACTCATGAAGTAGGGAAAGGGAGAGAGAAACAAAGTCAAGATTACGGGGCTCCCTCAAATGCCCAGGAATGAGTCATAGCATAAGCTTTAATTTGAATCTCCATTGATCTGGCTTTCAATTTGTACTCAATTATAGTTAATCTTTTGCTATTAATATAATCAGACTGAACCAGTAATTAAGAAATTCTCCATAGTTACTGTAGTGTCATCCAAATAAGATGAAGTAAAACAGAGAATTAATATTAAGTCCCTACTGTGTGTCAGGTGCCTTATAATGGCAGGAGGTTAAGGACAAAGGCTCTAGACTCTGACTGGTTCAAATTTGACTCAACCAGTTACTAGTTGTGTGAGGTTGGACGGGTTATGAAGCCTCTTTCTGTCTCCATTTCCTCCCATGTAGGATGCCATGTCTCATCAGGATTTTGTGAAAGGCAAATGAATCATTACATATAAAGTCTCTTGAACAATGCTTGGTATACAATAAGTACTAGATAACATGCTAGTTTTACTTACCTGTCTAATCTTCACAGCAGCACTGGAAAGGAGTTGTTATTATCTTTTATTGGTGGATAAAGCTCCAGTAAGTGATATAATCTACTCAAGGTCATGTACATCTCAAGCAATGTGAATGCTGTTTAAATCCTTGTCTACATGATACAATAGCTCTTGCATCAGATCCATTGTACGCAAACTTGAGTTCACTTCAGTGTCACTCTACCCTCAGAGTTTCTGATTCAGTACATCTAGGATTGGTCCAAGACTCTCATTTCAAAAGTAATTTCCCTGCAGTTATTACTGCAGACCCAAAGAGCTACATACTGAAAGCCTTGGCCCTTGAAACCATGCTTCACCACCAAGAATATCCACACCCATAAGACCATCCTTCAGTAGCCTAGAATGTCCTCACTCTGCTTTGTCATAGTTCTTTTGATAGCACTTCTTTTCTAATCTTTCCTTTAGCATCATGTAATAAAGGGATAATCAGAAATTTTCATTACTTTTGTTCATTTAGAACTAAAACAATCTTAATAGCCTTGTCAGTCATCTGCTCAAACTCATGCCTTCTAGAAATGAGCAAACAAGAAGATGCTGTTAACTGATATTAAATAAAAGTTCTTTACCTTAAAGCTCAATTTTCTAATATTCTCCTTAAGTGATTCCTAACTACTTACCCAAGATAAAACCTGAGAGTAGCCAATGAGTGATCTAGCCCAAACTCCTCACTTTCATCCCTTCTTCCCTTCTTTCAAATATGTATCAAATCCAGGAAAAGAAAACAAAATGGCTCTCACAAGTGGAACCCAGTTTGGGTCTAAGAATTATTTCTCAATTGCCTGAAATTCTTAGTTCACTAGCGCAAAAGGTGGAAGGAATTAAAAATTATTCCTTTGGGCCAGCACCGTGGCTCACTTGGCTAATCCTCTGCCTGTGGTGCCGGCATCCCATATGGGTGCCGGGTTCTAGTCCCGGCTGCTCCTCTTCCAGTCCAGCTCTCTGCTGTGGGCTGGGAAAGCAGTGGAGGATGGCCCAAGTGCTTGGGTGCCTGCACCCACGTGGGATACCAGGAAGAAGCACTTGGCTTCTGGCTTTGGATCGGCGCAGCGCCAGCCGTAGAGCCATTTGGGGGGGTGAACCAACGGAAGGAAGACATTTCTCTCTCTCACTGTCTAACTATCTGTCAAATAAAAATTATTCCTTAATAATGAATCAAATTAAATGAGAGTCACCTATGTCCACTGAGTCCCACTCAAGTGGGGAGTCACTCACATGACTGGAAATTGGCAAGAAAATACATGTACTTGGACACAAGCCAGAAAGTCAAGATGTATATATGTTGTAGTAATACAGAAGTGCACATCTAGTGTTCTTTATTGTGCTTTATTATTTTTAAAATATATTTGAGAGGGAGAGGGTGCTAAATGGAGAGGAAGATAGGGAAGAGAGAAGAAGAGCTGGGAAGGGGAGGAGGGGCTGGGAGAAGAGGAAGAAAGGGAGGAGGAGAGTAAGAGTCCCTATCTACTTGTTCACTCTCCAAATACCCACAACAGCCAGAGCTGCCTGGAGCAAGAGCCAGGAGCTGAGAACTCAGTGAAAGATTTCCACCCAAGTGGCAGGGACCCAACTACTTGAGCCATCAACTTCTGCCTCTCAGGGTATGCATTAGCTGGGGGTGGTGCTATGGCATAGTGGGCTAAGCCTCCTCCTGTAGTGCTGGAATCCTATATGGGTGCTGGTTCATGTTCCAGCTGCTCCTCTGCCAGTACAGCTCTCTGCTGTGGCCTGAGAAGGCAGTGGAAGATGGTCAAAGTGCTTGGGCCCTGTACCCACATGGGAGACTTGAAAGAAGCTCCTGGCTCCTGGCTTTGGATTAATTGGCCCAGCTCTGGCCATTGTTGCCATTTTGGGAGTGAACCAGTGGATGGAAGACCTTTACTATCTCTCCCTCTCTAATGAATAATCTTTAAGATTTTATTTATTTGAAAGGCAGAGCTGCAGAGAGGCAGAGGCAGAGAGAGTGAGCATAAGAGAGGGAGATAGATCAAGTCTTCCATCCACTGGTTTACACCCCTCCCCCAGATGGCTGCAATGGCTGGAGCTGTGCCAATCCAAAGCCAGGAGGCTCTTTGGTGTCTCCCACATGGGTGCAGGGGCCCAAGGACCTATACCATCCTCTACTGCCTTCCCAGGCCATGGGAGAGAGCTGGATCAGAAGAGGAGCAGCCAGGACTCGAACTTGCCCATATGGGATGCCACCACAGCAGGTGGCAGCTTTACCAGGTATGTCACAGCACCATACCATATATAAGTCTTAAAGGGGTTGGGGGGGGGGAGGGCTATGTATTTGTATTAGCAAGAAGCTACAGTCAGGAGCTGGGACCTGGACTTGAACCCCAGTACTACAGAATGGGAAATGGGCATCTTAACTGCTAAGCCCAAACCAACCAATCTCTGTTATACTTTAGGTAAGAAGTGCAGAACTCAGAATTTGTAAAGACGGAATCAATGATAATGATGGGATTCAAAGATGGAACTGATAATGTGGTGCCTCAGAAATACAGACAGGAAGTCTGGAACAATCACCAGTGTTAAGAAGCATAGAACCAGGATAAGAGACGAGACCAAGCACCACATGCTGAGTATTTGAGAAGGCATTTCTTTTCTGTTCATGCTAAGGGAGAGAAAGTACTCTGAAGGCTGTAATTTCTCCTCTCCTCTCTTTCCTATATTCTAATTATACCCCTCCTGCTTTTAGATTGTCATTCTCTGAGAACTTGCAGAAAGAAACGAGGAAGATTTAGACAGTAGTTATTTTCTAGTATAGGAATCCCACGTGTACAACATTTGAAGGAAAAGATTTCCTACTGAGAGAAGACATAAAAAAGAATGATATACATTCACATATTTATATTAGGTATTTGGAATAATTATCCAACTATTAAGAATACTTACTGCTACTAAGACTATCAATACAAAAAGCTTTTTAAAGATAGAAAACTTCTTCTGTATCCATGTAGGAATATTGCTATCCAAACAGAAAGGGTCAAGGCATCTTTTAATCCTATGGTGCTATGAAAATAGAAATTGAGTATTAAAGCTACCCAAATTAACACTACATAAGGTCTATCAACACGGTGAGAAAAGTACCTTTATCATCTGGCCATTAGAACAGATATCAGAACAAAGTCAGAAGGTAATTATACTTCTTGTCCTTGATTCTGGATTTCTTAGGCACCAAGATTATTAGTTTCAGAGTGGTTTGTCCCAGCCCTTGCACAGGTCAGGAACTGCTTATTAAAAATGCTTCATATGCTCATCACCATGCCAAGTGAAACAAAAATGAATACAGAGACCGGCACTGTGGCGCAGTGAGTTAAGCCACTGTCTACAGTGCTCGCATTCCATATGGGTACTGGTTCAAGTCCTGTGTGCTCCACTTCCAATCTAGCTCCATGCTAATGTGCCTGGGAAAGCAGCAGATGGCCCAAGTCCTTGGGCCCCTTCACTCACATGGGAGAGACCTGGATGAACCTCCTGGCTTCTGGCTTTGTTCTGCTCTAACCCTGGCTGTTGCCGCTATTTGGGGAGTAAATCAGCAGATGGAAGATCTCTCTCTAAGAAATAATCTTTAAAAAAAAAAAAAAAAAAACAGTGAATAGGATATGGTCCCTGCCCCACAAGTGTCTTTTGGCCAACCTTGTGATTATGCTCACGGGTTCTTTTCCCCCTTAGATGTGCACCCGTTTCCAGCCTATCTAAGCAGATTTATCCACAGAAACCTCTTCAGCTCTCTCAGACATAAGAAAAGTACAACTAGTGTACATCCCAGTAGAAATACGCTTCCCTTCTCCTAATTCATCTTAGCTGTACCCAGTAGGTTCTGAAAATGGCATTGTGTACCATAAATTCATAAACCCATCTACAGGGGCAGAGCAAGGCAGGAGAGCTGACATTCAATTGAAATAATAAACCTCCAGGAACAAGCTTCACTGCTTGACTGTTAGAGTAGTCAGCAAAATCCACAGACTTAATTACACCGGAGTAATTGCAGAAAAGATCATCCATTATTCTAACTACTCTGAAACAGAAGAGCTCATACCCTGAAATGACTTTGTAGTATCATAAATGGAGATCTATTCATTAGGACCATGAAAATAAAATGGAACTCTGTTTTCTTTTAAGAGCAATGTGATTACCACCACCCGTAACAATATTATGGGAGGAAAAACATATTGTCTGTTAGGACACACACATTTTCCTTTGTGTTTGGCCTTCATTTGTTCCTTCACAGGGATCATGGTAAGTAAGACTTGGATAATTTGGGATTATCCCAAGGATTCCACCCAGGTGCCACATTTGATACTTTTTAAACAAAAACGATTCAGAATCCCTTAAAGTACAGACACTCCCCCTCTACTAATTCTAAAAGCTTTTTGGTTTTATTTTTTTAAGCCCCTTTGGTTATATTCACAGTATGCAGATTAAAAGACTAGTGCAGTGTTATTCATATAGAAAGAACGATTTAAATTGGAAATGGAACTAGGTATTGACGAGTTACAGAAGCTAAAGAAACTAGAAATAAGGTCTTAGCAAGAGAAGGCATAGGTATTTGATTTTTTTTTTTTCAATCTAAAAGGAGGATTTGGAGCAAGGATTACAGAGTTGGAGTAAGCAGTTTGAAGAGAAAGAATAAGGTGACATATAGCAAACTCAAAAGAAGTTTGCATTTTATTTCATTTTACTTAGACATTTAAAAAGTTTCAAACACACATTATAATGAAACAGAATGGGACTGAATGAAACAGCAGCCATGATTTGAAGTTAAAAAAAGTTTATTGTTTTAAATATAAATGTGACAACTGATTGGGGATGAAGGTGAGGTAGAGCACAGCAATTAAAAGGGGTTGGCCTTGGGTTTGAGAGGACTCAAGGGAAAAGTTGGCACAGAGAACATTCATGATGGGTCAGACACGTAGACACAGCTGTTTTATCTGAGGCCATAAGTGTGTATATTTACAAATTATGTAATCTTTTTAAAGATCTGTACATTTATTCTCTAGATCACATTTCCTGGAAAAAATATGGGAGACTGTGTATCCTTCAATTTCTAGTCCATCATGTTAACCACTAGGCCTTCCCATGAGAGTTGTATACCACCCCACCCTCCCCACTCCTCTTCTTAGCCCTAACTAAGCAGAGGAAAGACAGCTATAGCTGATACTGAAATGCTCAATTATTTAAAAAAACAGATTGCCTCCTTAAAATCTAAAGATTTGACAGGTAGAACACATGCTAACATTACTCTATCTTCACACAAAAGGCAGCACCAAACATAGGCAAAAGGCACAGGAGGAAAATGCCACTCATTATAAATAGAAAATTTTTTCATACTTACAATTTCCTAAAAATAGAGTAGTTCCTTTGTTACTAATGAGTGCCACATTACATGAGATACTTGGGTAGACTGGATGGATGGACATATGTCAGGGGTATCACAGAAAGGGTTACAACCTTGTTTGAAAGTTGGACTTCATGATATCAAGGATTTCGCCAACACTCATAATAGTTCTTTGGTTTATGTTATTCATAGCCTAGGACTTATTCTATCTTCCAGAGCATGCTCACCAGAACTAATCAATCATCTGCAAGTCAGAAGAAAATAGGTAGGAAAAAATAAAACCAGGAACCTGCACTCCCCACCCCGACCCCAGAAATGTGAAGACTGATAACAGGAATCTTTCTCTGCCTATCTTAAAGTACGCCCTTTAATTTTTTTTCCTGTAGACTCTGACAAACTTCCAGTGGGTCATGTAGATTTTATAAATTTTACCTGTGTATTCTGTTAATGCATGGGCGGTTCCACAGTAAGAACAAATTCTGATCCAAATGCTTACATTTCTGTATAATTGGCATACATTTCCTAGATACAACTTTTTAAGTGTTAGAAAATTTGTGAGCTCCTCATTGGACATCTAAAATAGGTGTAATATATCAGTTTAATTTTCTCTGATATCAAAATATATAAAATAGAATGTCAATAGTTGTTTGAATAATCCTTGGAAACTCAAAGATTCAGGTCATACTTTAGCCATAATCAACACATTTTACTGAGTCATCACTACATATCACTCTCCATAAATTTTCAGTACAGTTAGGACTCCTAGACTCAGTGTAGGTTAATTATCAACACATTTTGGTTGATGCATCCAATTTCTTTCTTTAAAAAAAAATTAGATAGCTGTAGGATGCAGAAACCTTAGCAAACAGAAATATGATATGCCTAGACATTAGCAAGGGGTTTAATGGGATCAATAACAATAGTCTTAACAAAAAATTGGGAGTTTTGGAATGCAAACAAGGATATTTTTAGAGAAGTAAAATTTTTAAATATCCAAATGATACAAAACAATGGATACAAGTCAGTAAGAGAGAGCATCTTCCCTTTAGTTATGGATCATGCAAAAATGGTTTTCAATATCTTGGATGGTGACTTAGAGGGCCTGGTCATACATTTTCAGATAACACAAAGCTTGAGATGGATGAAGAGCATGTTAGATATTATGGTCAAATCCCAAAATGTTTTATAGACTAGACCAAAAAATTGGGGTTATTAAGATAAAATTCAGAGATAAATATATGTGTATTTTAGAATGGAAAAGAAAACAAACCTGAAGAGACAAATGAATGATAAATCACTAGCACTATGTGTGAGGATCTTGAGGATTCTGACAATAAACTGAGTTTGAAGAAAGAATTATGACTACTCCCCCAATCCTACAAAAAAAAAAAAAGAAAAGATGAGCCTAGGTTACATTCATTCCAAGAGGTACATAATCCAGAATCAAGAAACTTAAAGTTCTAACTCTTCCATGATCACATAATTCCTAAAGAATTGTATTTTTTCCTTTGGACTTTGTAAATTTTAACAGAATTTAGTTAAAAGGACATTAGCTTAAGACGATATACCAGAGTAAGAGCAAGCCTCATGACCATATTCACTGAGGAAACACTGAAAGACTTGCAACATTCAGTTCCAAGGAAAATGTGAATGCTGTTATCAAGTATCAAAATGGTTTGGATGTAACAAAGATATTAAATGTGTTCCATATAACTACAAAGAGTAGAACTATAGAATGGAAGATAGAGAGGGAGGAGATATACAGTTTGGCACATGCTCAATTGGACTTGCCCCAAACGGTAGAGTTAGAAATGCGCCCAGGGATTCTAATTCAATCTCATCAAGGTGATATGTACCATTGTCATCTCACTAGTCAAAGTGATCAGTTTAAGTTCACAATTGATCATAATGATAGGTCTGAGAGTCAAAGGGATCACATAAACAAGACTAGTGTCTGCTAATACTAACTGATAGAATTAAAAAGGAGAGAACAATCCAACATGGGAAGTGGGATACACAGCAGACTCATAGAGTGGCAGATGTCCTAAACAGCACTCTGGCCTCAGAATCAGCCCTTAAGGCATTCAGATCTGGCTGAAAAGCCCATCAGAGTTTCACAGGCATGGAAAGCCAAGACACTCTGGCAAAAAAAAAAGACCTAAATAAAAGATGTCTGTGAGTGAGATCCCAGTGGAAAGAACAGGCCATCAAAGAAGGAGGTACTTTTCTCTGTAGGGAGGAGAGAACTTCCACTTTCACTATGACCTTGTCTAAATATGATTGGAGTTGGCAAACTAGAGGCTTCCATAGCCTTGGCAACTCATGACTAGAGCCTAGGGTGATTACTGATGCCATAAACAAGAGTGTCAATTTGTTAAGTCAACAACAGGAGTCACTGTGCACTTACTCCTCATGTAGGATCTTTGTCCTTAATGTGTTGTACAATGTGAATTAATGCTATAACTAGTACTCAAACAGTACTTTACACTTTGTGTTTCTGTGTGGGTGCAAACTGTTGAAATCTTTACTTAATATATACTAAATTGATCTTCTGTATATAAAGATACTTGAAAATGAATCTTGATGTGAATGGAATGGGAGAGGGAGTGGGATTTGGGAAGGTTGCAGGTGGGAGGAAAGTTATGGGAAGCAAAAAGCCACTGTAACTCAAAAGCTGTACTTTGTAAATTTTTATTTATTAAATAAAAGTTAAAAAGAGTTTGGTTAATCTAAATGGAAAACTTTTTATAGTAAAAAGTATACAAAGATAAAGCGGATTGTCCTACTATAGGTTTTCATTCATTGGCTGGATGACTACAGGAGGCTGATGAGAACTGCACATTCTTTGTGGCACCTGAACTGTGTAAACAAAAACACAACATTTTTCGACAACTGAAGGTTTAGGGTAGATAAATAAATGTCAGGAAACTGAACTCAATTCTCTTCTCTTCTTCCAATTTACCCAAATCATTTATTCACTCTCTACCTCCATTTTCTTGCCTGTGAAATGAAGGTAATTCTATTTGCCATCTCAGGCCAGATGGGAAAGTCTGTAATGAGTTCGGAGCTTGGAGTATTCTTCACTATAAATTCTCTGTGTGTTGCTGTTACTGATTTTTTTTTTTAGAAAGAAATTCAAAGTTTTCTGCTTGAATGAGAACCAAGTTCAAACTTTGGGAGAGTGCCCTGAAATTATTTATTTTTCTCTTTCAAAAATAAAACTGGGATGAGATTTGGACCAATCAGTCTCCTTCATGGGCAAATAGCAATACAGCTGCTGGATGTTCCAAGGCTTTACATGAATTGTGCTCTGCTAATCCAGGAACTTCTAGGTTTTACTTAAACACATTGATCTGGTACCAGCTCATCCATCATGCCAACCTCTAAGCAAACAAAGGCCAACATGCTGAGGCAGAGCTGAACATGGGGCTAACAACTGGAAATTAAGACCAATACCAAATTGTACTTTCAATACATTTCAAATATTCAGATTTTGACAATATTTTTCTTGGACCTAACATTTCTTTTTGCAGACCTTTTCATTTCTCAGACCTATTTGCCCAAAAAAAGAGCAAATAAATTAGTAGTAGTTTTAGTAGTCGTCGTGGTAGTCGTCGTCATAGTAGTAGTTGTAGTGAAAGAAAGGAATGCCTGGTAGCACAGAGTTCTGTGAATCAAATGCAAAAGGGAAGGAGACATAATGGAAAACCACAAAGCAAATGCAGTCTCCACAAAACGCATTTCAACATACCTGCTTTCTAAATTAAACACCTCTCAGCATTTCCATAATGGTTATGAGTATCAGAAAGCTTTTATTTTTGACATCCTAGTTACTTTTGTTGACAGGTTAGGTTTTTTTTTCCAGTTTTTTGATGATTTAAATCTAAAGAAAAAATAATAAAAGCATTCAATTCTGCAAAGATAGAGAAAATGTCAAAGAATATAAGGCTATTTTTTTGGTTGGGTCCACTGATCGGAAATACTCAATTTTTAGAAAATGGTGGATACACTACATTAATTTTGCAAAATGTGATAATGTTCAGAAAAGGAGAATAATCATAATGCATAATCATACGGGTAGGCTGTCAGAATACAATGAAAATAAATACCACACTTTCACAAATTATATCTCTGAGTGAAGTTCTTAAATAGCTCCATAATGCTCCTGCCAAAAGAGATAACTCATAGAAGGTATCTGTTGTATGACTACAGATTTATAATTTTGTTGACTGATATCATTATTGGGGGTATAAGTATCAGCTAATTTCCCAGCATTAGATTTTTTTATTGAATTTCCTGTATTCTTTATACAATTTTAATTGGGTTAACAAGCACAATTGATATATCCAATCTAATTTCTAATCATACAAAAGCAACTCCAAGTTTAGTTTGTCTAGTTGTGACATCATCCACGCATTTAAGGCCAAAGAAATTGGGAACACAGCAGGAGTCGAGAATGTTGTAAACCAGGGCAAGTTTTGACCTAGCAGTTAAATCACCTTTGTGCCAAATGGAAGGTGCCTGGGTTTCATACCCAGATCTGCATCCAACTCCTGCCTTCTGCTAATGGAGATCAAGGGAGGCAGCAGTAAAAGCTCAAGTGTTTGAGTTCCTGGCACTCCTGTGGGAGACCTGGGTTGACTTCCCCATTCCTGGCTTCTGTCTCATTTGTGGGTATCTGGGAAGTAACCCACAAGATAGGAATTCTCTCACTGTGTGTATCTCTCTCTGTGTCTCCAATAAATAAAATTTTAAGAAATTAAAGCATGTTGTAAACTAATGGCTCTTGTATACCAGAGGAGAAAGATGCTTTCTAAGTTTACTATTAAAGATAAGGAATTACTATTGGATCTTTAGGTCTCATACCCAGTCTTACAGTACCCTAGAGCTATTTGTTCACCAGCATCTGGACAGAAATAAAAAAGCCTAATCATCCAAAACATTCATGATATTAAGCATTATGTGGGTCAAATATTTTGATTTTTGGATTAATTTTACTTTATCACATATAGTTTCCGTTGTAGACTAAAGGAACAACACAAAATAAGATGTTATCAGGGGTCAACAAATGTTTTCCAAAAGGGGTAACTGTGTAAATATTTTTGCTTTGTGGGTCAAAAAAGTATGTGAGTCTGTTGGAAATACTCAATTTTGAAACTGCAAGTAGATACAGACAATATATAAAGAATGAGATGGGCTCATGTTCATATATTTACAAAACAGCTGAAAGTTCAAATTATCTCACCAGTAGTAATTATCAGACCCTAAGAATAAATAATCAAGGTAAGTGTATCAAATATGTAGAACTAAATGGAACCTAAGTGATTGATATGGTTTAAGTATCATCTCCAGTTCTGTACATACATACTACAACCAAGTTCAAAGTGATTGAAGGATTTTCCTATACCTATATAAGCAAATTTCCTATTTGTTTAACCAGTGACAGCTTTTTCCTAATTCCACCAAATTCAATACCCTGATCTCTGCCACATCTGTACTTAACAATCTAAGAGTAGATCAAGACAAAGTAGATTCATCGTCAGTAACAGGTTTAAGTTGGTCTAAATGCAAAGATTATCATTAGTAAGCTAAAAAGTAGAGCTGGAAAGTCAGGAGAGCAAGGTCTTGGAGTGCTCTGCACACGTGGGGATAATTATCAGATTGTCCATTTGTAAGTAGTTTAAGATTTTAAAATGTACAACTTACATACATATCTACCAACATCAATACCATTGTATATACATAAAGATTCTGATGTACCCCACACTGCTTCTAGTATTAAGAAAGGCTTTACCAGGCTGGCGCCATGGCTCAATAGGCTAATCCTCTGCCTTGCAGCACTGGCACACCGGGTTCTAGTCCTGGTCGGGGCACCAGATTCTGTCCCGGTTGCCCCTCTTCCAGTCCAGCTCTCTGCTGTGGCCCGGGAGTGCAGTGGAAGATGCCCCAAGTGCTTGGGCCCTGCACCCACATGGGAGACCAGGAGAAGCACCTGGCTCCCAGCTTCGGACCAGCATGGTGCGCTGGCCGCAGCCCGCCAACTGCAGCAGCCACTGGAGGGTGAACCAACGGCAAAGGAAGACCTTTCTCTCTGTCTCTCTCTCTCTCTCACTGTCCACTCTGCCTGTCAAAAATAAAAAAAAAAAAAAGAAAAGAAAAGAAAGGCTTACCAAAAGAAATAAGAAAAAAAAAAAGCCAAAAGATTTTCCATCAAGTAATCTTAGTGATTTGGTGTTTAACATAAGTCACCAGTCTTCATCTTCAAAAAAATTGGGGAGGAAAATAAGCTCACAGCTTTGCATCATCCTGCTGGCTCAGTTTACACAGCTCTTTCCCTTTCTTTATTTGAAAGACAGAAATACAGGGAGAGAGGGAGGGAGAAAAATCTTCCATCTGCTAACTCACTTCCCAAATAGCCTCAATGACAAGGGCTGGGCAAAGCTGAAGCTTGGAGCTCCATCCAGGTATCCCAAGTGGGTAAGGGGTCCAAGTATGAGGTCCATCTGCTGATTTCCAAGGCACATTAGCAGGGAGCTGAATCTGAACTGGAGCAGCCAGGACTTGAACCGGTGCCCACACTGAATGGTGGCATCAACAGGTAGTGTCTTAACTTGCTGCACCAAAATGCCACCCCCTTTCCCCAACTCCTTAATAACATTTATATTACTGCTAATGCCTTCTGAAGTTAAATTTGTTCTCTACAAATTTCATGACTGTAAAATTTTTCTTCAAGAATGAAAGTTCTCTATGGGGGCCTGGTCATACACTGGGTTCTACTAAGTGTTTACTATTTGTCAGGAATTGTGTTCAATGCTATAGATAACAAGGTCAATTTTACATGGGGAGACACAGCAGACACAGAATTGGAAGGACAGGAGAATTGGAAGTACAGGAGAAGGAATCATTAATTTTACCTAGAGAGCTCTCAAGAAGATTTTGTACAGGTGATAATATTTGAGCTGACCAATGAAACATAATTAAGAGCTTGCCAAAAAGAAAGAGGATTAGGAAGGTCATTTAAGAAAATAGAGAAAAGTACATATTTAATAGAAAACTTTTATTTAATATAAATTTCAAAAGCACAACTTTTGGATTATAGCAGTTCTTCCCCCATAACAACCCTCCCACCAACAAACCATCCCATCTCCTACTCCCTCTCCCACCCCATTCTTCATTAAAATTCATTTTTAATTATCCTTATATACAGAAGATCAAATCTATACTGAGTAAAGATTTCAACAATTTGTACACACACACAGAGACACAAAAAGTATAAAGTACTGTTTTAAGATTAGTTTTACTGTTAATTCTCATAGTACAATACATTAAGGACAGAGGTCCTACATGGGGAGCATGTGCACAATGATTCCCGTTGTTGATTTAACAATTGACACTATTATTTATGACGTCAGTAATCACCCGAGGCTCTTGTCATGAGCTGCCAAGGCTATGGAAGCCTCTTGAGTCCACAAACTATGACTTTATTTAGACAAGGCCATAATCAAAATGGAAGTTCTCTCCTCCCTTCAGAGAAAGGTATCTCCTTCTTTGATGGCCCCTTCTTTCCTCCAAGATCTCACTCACAGAGATATTTCATTTAGGTCATTTTTTGCCATGCTGTCTTGGCTTTCCATGCCTAAGATACTCTCATGGGCTTTTTATCCGGATCCGAATGCCTTAAGGGCTGATTCTGAGGCCAGAGTGCTGTTTAGGGCATTTGTCATTTGGTGAATCTGCTGTGTATTCCACTTCCCATGTTGGATCATTTCCTCAAAAAGTGCATATTTTATAAACTCTGCATAGATTCATGTAATTTAAAGCAAACTTTATAAGGCTGATGAGTCAGGAGCCAAATTATGAAGTCACAGAGAAAGGAGATGAGTGAGCAAAACCTTCTGTTTTGAGGTCAATACTTACAACTGAAGCTGAGCCCTGAGTATAGGAAGCATTGATTATCATAAAGAAGTCACCTAACAAGTTCCTTAATTTGTCTTTTATCACTTCTATAATACTTAATTAGGGGCAAGAATAAGATAGGTATGCACATTCGCTTGATTTATCTATTGACTTATTGCCACACACACCATTAGCATTCTATCTAGGGTCTTCAGAAAGTATTGAAACTATCAAACTACCAGATACATATATATAGAAGAAAATACACTCCCAAATAGTCATCAATGTGGAAGAATGCTGTAGGATACTGCACAGATTTGGGAGGATATTGGGAGTGGGTATTTAGCATGATTGTGTATCATTCCTTGCCTGGTTCTAGCTTCCTGCTAATGATCCTGGAAGGAAGCAGTGATGGCTCAAGAAATTGGGTTTCTGCCTCCCACATGGGGGACCTGGACTGAGTCTTTGACTCTTGGCTTCAGCCCTTGTAGTTCCAGTTGTTGTGGGCATTTGGGGAACAACAAGCAGTGGGGGCTTTCTTTCTAACTCAAATAAATACAACTGCAAAGAGATTTGAAAGAATCTTGCATGATACACTCATACTCCCATATATCCTGAGTTTTATTTCTATCAATGAAACACATTTTAATTACTGATAAATGTAAATTGTTATTAAATATGCATATTCTATATCAAATATATATCATGTATTTAGGTTTGCTAAGTTTTATATTATTTATAAAATGTATATATACAGACTAGTTTTATTTATAACAGTGATTATATATGTATGTATGAAGATTTAAATCAGGTTGTTTTTTAAAGATTTATATATTTATTTATTTGAAAGACAAAGAGAGAGAGGGGAGAGGGGAGAGAGAGGAAGGTAGGGGGAGAGGGGAGAGAGGGAGGGAGAGAGGGAGAATCGATCTTGCATCTGCTGGTTCACTCTCCAAATGGCTACAACCACGGGGCTGGGCCAGGCTA